GCGCGCGTATGTACGTGCAGCCGTCGGTGCCCGATAAGGAGCCACGACCCTGTTTCTCCGTCCGCCGCTCATCCCGCGACGCTTTTTCTTCCGTCAGCGTTTTAAGGCCATATGGAACCGGGTATCATCCGGTCAAACAGTCGCTGGTGTGCACACGTGCGCTGCTGTGTGTTTCGGTGCACGCCGCGAACGCGTAGCGACGATGTAACGCCACTCATAGGGTCTCTATCTCTGCTGCGTGGGCGTGTTCGAGGCGTCGGATGTTCCACTACTCGAAAACGGCTCGTTTTCTTCCCGCCGTCACCGAATCGTTTCTCCCGTCATCCGAAATCGTTTTCATCGCGATATTTTAATTCGTTTCATTAACCGCAACCAAAGTTTTGTAAAGTCTTCTCCTCCGTGGAGCGGTGGCGTTTTACTCGGAAAAACAAAAACGCCTCGACGGTTAAGACGCACGCTTTACACGGCCGATGAGCAGATTTTTCAATGGCACTTTTTCTCCGCGCCCGTCTCTTGGCCGTCTAATAGCTCGTGTTAAACGCGAATTATATAAAGCTCGGCGACGGTGTTGTCATTTAAAATTCACTTAAAACCACCGCCGCGCACCCCTTTTACCGGCTTAGCAAAGCGTAAACACAAAGGACGTGCAAATTCGTATAAGTTTTCCGGACGGGCCGCCTGAGAAAGGGATTCTGCATGAAGTGCACGCCTCGAGACGCGTATTTATATAATATAGCCCGCCGAGTTTTTAAGCCGAAATGTTTTAATATGATTTCGGGGCAAAACTTGCCATTTTCTTAACCACCTTGAACTCTCCGGCCCGTCACCGCTGCTTTGACGAAGTCTTCCACGGGGGACGATCGGTGTTTGTCGAAAATCGATAATGAGAAGGGTGGTGCACCGTTTACGCGCTCATACACACAAATACAAGTGGCACTTTCGCTTTATACGCGTATTATTACACCCACCTATACATTATATACATATAAACTCGTATAAATGCGCATACAAGCGTATATTCATATATTTATAATAACAATAACACACATCGAACACGTCGAATTTATTGAATATAATCCGAGCGTGGCGTTTTATATGCGTATTTTATGATAAGCTTTTGTGCGCAATATGCTATACGATATTGTGTGCGCATATACGTACGTAAGCGAACGGGCGAGCGACTGAATTATTATTACCCCGTTATTATTCTAGGGGTCGCGGTGTGTGATAAGACCGCCGTCGCCGTCGTCGGAGCACATAAAAGTAAATGACACGAAAATCGTGTATACATATACATACATATTATAATACTCGCACAGAGTCACCGTCGTATCCGACGAGTGGAAAAATTGACTTTTTCCCGTCGCCATTGTTCCCCACCACCGCCACCACCGCCGAAGTTTTATGTGTATAGGGTTTTCCAAATGCAATTTTTTTATCAAATGACAAAACGACTGGAAAAATCATTTTCACCTCCTATCACCCCCACTCCGTTTATTTTTTTATTTTTTCGCGCACATTAAATGTAAGCACAAGAGTAAATATGATTTCACTCCCCATACCATCTACACACATACACACACACACATATTTATATATTGTATAAATGTGTGTATATAAATCGAATGGGCGATTGCGGGCGTCGCGTGCATTCCCTATATCTCCAGCAAACCGTGTGTAATTTTTATTTTTTTTCTCTCCCCCGTCCATTGTCATCTCTCTCACTCCGGAGATAAACGCAAATGCGAGTTGTCACGGGGAAGCGCGTACGGTTCGCTAGCCGCCGGATATTGAGTTACAGCTGATAGTCTGTGTTCGATCGGTCGGCCACTTCTATTCCGGTACGATGCATTTGAAAACGGGACATCGGCTTCGATATTTGTCCGCGCGCCCGCAGACCGGTTACACATCGACGGCATAAGCCACTAAGTCACATTGCTGCGCAGTGCACCGCACACACGTGTGCAACGGTCCAACGGCGCGTTGTGATTTATTGCGGTGAAAAAACAAAAATCAAAAAAAAAAAAAAATCCTACTCTTGTTTATATAATCGTCCTGCAGGATCCGATCAACCCTTTTCCAATGCAGCATCGCGTATGGTATAGTGAACGCGGTGTATTATATTTTAGTGCTTACGTGCTGCTGTTGTCGGTTTCCGACGTATGTATAGGTATATACGATACTTCTTACTATTACACGGAGACAGATGGCGGAGAGTGTGGTGTGTGTCGTGTTCGGAAACGATATCCATTTTTTTTTTTTTTTTTTATAATTACCGAAAGTCAATATACGTATACACACACGTACGATTAAATCGACGGTTGTGTCGCTGGTGCACGTTGTATTATATCACAAAACGTACCGCCACCGTTTTGACTTCAACTTCCCGGGCCAACGCGTGTTCAACATAGAACTGTACACGTATATTATCGTATTATAATTTATATAGGCGCTGCTGATGCGCTCTGGTTATTATCACAAGTGCTCGCGTTCGTACGGGGTTAAAAGCTCGTGCATAAGACATGACAAACGAGTTTATGATTCTCGACGTATAATTTTTATTTTCCGCATTCGCCGCGAGAACAGACCAGCAAGGAATAGGGACGACGACCATTCGAACCATATTCCGTGCGCATGTATTCGTGTTTCTCCGTTTATACTTTATTGCCGCCGCTGCCGCCACCGTTAAAAGTCGTAAAAAGAAAAGAAAAAAATTAAAAACAAAACAAAGACTCGTCGCATAATAATTTACGGTTAAGCGCCTCGATAATTGTATTTTGCAGTCGGAAATTAACGTCGTTCCTCTCGGAATTATTCATGCCGATTCCGCGCACCGTTAAAAGCTTTGCGCGTCCGAAGAAAAGGTTAAAAGCTACAACAAGAAATAATGTTCCAAGGGTTGTTGTTGTTTTTTATTATTACGGGGAGCGGTTTTTTTTTAACAAGACGTTAAAAGGGTAAAGAAATTGCTGAACAAAAATTAGCCTTTAATACGATTTCGTGGGCGCGCGAGAAGGAGAAAAACAAAGCACTTTTGCCTTCTCACCAGTCGTGTAACGGCCACACTGTGAGTATGTGCGTATTATACAATAGCGTTCTCAGCTGGGAAATCTGTTTTTAATATCAAGACGTGCAGTAATTTTTTTCCTCTCTAATATTCATTATATATATACATTATTTCAGTTGTAGGCTGTAATTGTAGTCGTCGTTTTTTCTTCCCCTCTCTCGTTACTAATGACAAAACTTATGTTATACGTGCCGTACGCTGTGAAAAAGATAATCTTTATAGAATAAGAGGGTTGTTGCAGTAGTATAGCGATGTATATATACAACGGTACAACAAAGTCCGAGGCGGACTCGACGAGACGTCGAGAGACGGATTACGTTGCCAAAGCCAAAAAACTCTGCCGCACTGTTTAAAGTCGTCCAATTACCGCGCGGGTCTCGAGAGAGGCTGCAGAGGTGGCCGCGTTTTAATTGTATTCTTTTGCGGAGAAATAATTATAAAGGAAATGCGAGAACTTGCGACGTCTTGTTGAATTTTCTTCCCGGTCCGTCGCTTTCACTTCTTGCCGTCGTAGCCGCTCTTGTTAAAGAAGTTTAAATGAATATTATTAAAAACGAGGATTATAATGATAATAGAAATAATAATAATAATAATAGTATATTATGAAAACGAACGAAAAGACTGTCTCTTAGTTTTCGATTAACGCCATTTCTTGATTGGATTATTTTTCGCGTTAATGCATTTTTGTGGTCTTTGAAGAAGGGAAGTGTTTCGCATAAACATCGCGGCCACGTTTTCGTTATTGTCGCCGTTGTTGATCAAATTTTCTCTTTTGTCCGGCTCCATTAAGGAGAAGTTTCCTTCACGATTTGTGGTCTTACCCATCATCAAGACAATATATGGCCGAGCTGCGATCCATGCAACCGATATACACTACACAACATATATTTTGTTTTTTCATTTGTTGATCGGCGTGTTGGCGGAGATGTTTTGACGGTGTCCGGGCGAGACCGTGGGTGGGGGAAACCAAAACCCGGTTTGTTGTCGAACACATACATACATACGATACGATAAAATACACTACTACTATGCACATGTCGATGGGATTTATAATATTCAAAATGAAAACACGCAATATAGCCGATGGTCTTAATTAAAGAACCGGTGGTCCGTCATTGTTTGAATGTCTATTATTATTATTATTATTATTATTGTTATTTATTAATCTCCGATCTGTGGTGTAGTGCGCGCCACAGCCTTGCCCACAGAATCCTCCCATCGACCAATGATACGCCGCGACTAGCGAACATGTAAAAATATTATTTTCCATCATTTAATTTTCGTGTACCTATACACAGGTAAAAAAAAAAAAAATGTAATAATAATAAAAATTACTACAGGAAACAAAGAATTCGTCTACCGTCTTTCGTTGTAGCGCAGCGCACCCGTAGGCCCATTTATATTTTAAACTATATATATATATATATGTATGTGTGTGTGTTCGTAATAATATAATGATTTATATAACATATAACATAAAACAGTCCTTTTGTGTGTTCATTCGGACGATGTGCGGAGGATGCCTGGCTTGTTTTCCGATTTCTTTGATGAAACCACCACCCGGGTGCGGTCGGTGGTGCGCGAAAAAAAAAAAGAAAAAAAAAGTTTATATACATTTATTAAATACAATTTTGTTGTGTTTGTTGAATCGAAAGAGACGGGAATGGTCTCGCGACGGCCGTAGCGGGTAGGTACAGTCGTGATGCAGTGCGTTTACGCAGCGGAGTACCGTATATATTTATTTGTGTTTGTCCGATTCGATTAACCGCACCGGCAACGTATAGGCAACCAGTGAACCGCGAGAATCGGAATGATAGTGAAATAATAAACGGGAACCTATTACGAGATAATGTTACGCATACATGTGTATATGCACACGTAAAACCGATTCGTACGCAATACTATAAATGCGCATGTATGTTTTGTGTTACAGTCGTTTACCAAAAGCGTCTCCGCAGAGAGAGGAAAGCCAGGAAACGCGTACAAGATCAGCTGGAACAAGAGTTGAAGCGAAGGGCTCAGCTCGAGGAGATGATCAAAGCGGCCGGTGCACCAGCAGACGCACTCCGTATACTAACAGGTACGTTACTGGATAGATACAATAAAAAAAAATAATACCACGTCGATAATATACTACTTATTGTATACATTGTGTATACCTATATTATACTTTACTGCACATGTAGTTTTATCATTTTGCAACACTGATTTTCTCGTGAAGACCAATGGTGTGCAAAACATTGATTAAACCAGACTAAAGGGAAATTTATTCCTTGCATATTATTTATTATTGAAAAAAAAACAAAAATAAAACACGTGAAATATTTTTGACGCAAATAACAAATTATACAGATACCGGGGGTAAAGAAAAATAATGCGACTTAATTTGTAGTGGCTATAACAATCGTAAATTTTGGAACAAAGGCGAATCCGATTAATTTGTTGTTCACTGATTAAACACCAATGGTAAAAACATAATAGAAAAATATTTTCGTCAGCTTGTCGCTCTATTGTTCAATGATATAATGTACCGGCATCGGGTGGCGAGTATCTTTTTATTTGTCGGTTAAGAATAACAGTATGATAAGGGTTTACCGATCCCGAGTACGCGGGTCCACGTTTTAATTCGTTAAACCGTAGTACATGTGATTCGTTATTGTGTCGTTGATAACCGTTACAAAACGTGCATAAATGTTACAGAAAACAACAACGAAAAGCCGAGGGACAGGTCTGAACAGTCGCAGAGCCCGCAAAACTATTCGTCGGGACCGGTGCAACGAGGTTCGGAGACGTCCAACGACAAGCAGTGGAACTATTCGGGACTGGACCTGATGAGTTCGTCCGGGGCCGCAGCTTTCTGGCAAAACTATTCCGGTAAGAGGACACACGATTGTCGTAACGCTTCATTGGCTTTCCTTTTTTTCGTCCGGCGCAACGACCGTGTGTGCCGCAACAGCACGTAGGTGGGCCGTGGTGTGAGAAATCCGGGGGCCTAAGGGGTATATCTTAAGGTATATCTTATTTTTTTCCGCAGTTTTCATAAAAATCTTATCATTATTTGTGTTTGATTTTTAATAATTTGTAGTTCCTAATTTCCAGACCCTCTAAAAATTCCGATCATCCCATTCCTCCGTCTTCTCGTCAGGACTGAGCATACCGACGACATTTGCGCGCCTGACGATTTTATCGCGATATCGCTGCCAAGCCGTACAAAAAACACGCATGAGCATGCGTTGTTTCATGCTCAGGCGCACACGCACACGCGGAAATCGTTGTTTGCGGACGGAAACAAACATAAATAGTGATTAGACGGCGGGCGGAGATTTTTGTTTTATTTTATTTTTTCAAATTTGCATTTCACGTAGTTACGTATTCATGGATCGTGCGGCGCTGCCGCAGTGCATGTTTTACCCCTGGTCGGGGGTGTGGTGACGTTACACGCGTATTGTTCGAAACTGCCGACGTTATGTGTGCCGGTTTGTAATGAGAACTTCATACTCGTGTAGTGCGTATGACGTTCGCCCCGTTGCTGTTCAGAAATTCCATTTGCAATAAACACCGAGGTTAACCCTCCGCGCCCTGCAAACGTTGCTGCCGCAATTGACCCTTTACACTCGTTTTCCGCCGACAACATCGGAGTGTGTATATTATAGTGTCGTTGTAGTCATGTATGTGTGTTTGTGTGTGTGTGTGTGCTGCGTATTATGACTGGCTTTTTTATTATAATTATTATTTTATTTTTCACTCGTACTTTTTACCCCCTTCTCGCTGTCTCGCCCGATGACTACACCGACGACGACGACCACCACTACCACTACCTCTACTAGCATTACCACGGTGACGATATATTATTTTATAGCGTTGCGCCAACCCTTTCGGCATACTAATCAAATCGCGTTCGCTGCAAACTAACCAGAAAACCGTATGCATTATTTACGCCGGATGGGACCTGGTGGAGACGGTTCGCCATCATCGTTACACAGGCTCGCGCATACAGGAAGTCGTACACTTGGAAACCTCGGATGCGCGCGACTCGAACAATCGTTTTCCGGACGCGTGTAGAAAAAAAATGAATTAAAAATATACCCCGAAATGTAAATAAAACCGAGGGCAGCTAGTGACGCGGCGTGCCGAGAGTAATAAAAGTACGACTAAAAACAAATACCCACGACCCTACTAAAATATAAACGAAATCGTATATCTCAAACTGCAATGTACCCGTATACGCCTCTTTTCGGCCGTGATCACCCGAAAAATAGCTCCGTCGAGAGTTTATTATTGTCATCACCATTTTTGTTGTTATTGTGATCAAACATTGTTGTATCTTTTGCTCGTTGTCGTCAACGCCGAACGTTCATTCATAGTTTTCGGTAGCAGATCGATTTTTCTCAACCACCAATTCGTATCATATATGGTAACTACAGATTCCGTGAGCACGCAAACAATGCACGGCTAAATGTTTGAACTCGACGTCGTCGTTATTTGCAGTATCTATTTTACAGTTTCTAAAACACCACGATGTCGTTGCGTTTGATGAAATACAGGAAAAACTAGTCCCTCAAATCCCCCCCCCCCCCAATATCATCCATAAATAGCGCTTCTTTAACGGCGCTCTTGCCACCGGTTACACGGCACGTGTATTGCACAGCCGTGCCAGTAATTAAACTCTCAACGTTCTACTGCGAACAGTAAATATACATATATGCGTATGAAACGGTTTTCAGAGACTTTTCGCCGAATGGAGTTTGTTGTTTTTGCGTTTGTACTTCGGTGCTGACACTAAATCCGCTTAAGTAGCAAAGGAATAAGTAATGTAGACGGAAGAATAAAAGATAAAAAAAAAAGGAAAAAGATAATCTTTTTTTAAACACATCGTGACAAAAGGTTGCATGCGCGGGTGGGGAAAAAAGCTCACGTTATTTATTCAATTTCACGGTTGAGCCGTTTTGGCAAGAAGCGATTATTTTTATTTTTTTACATGATATCTCTGCGCGTATCCTACCCCCGCGGGCGTGTATTTTTGTGTCTCGACTCTCTGCCGTCGATTTAATAATATTCCTTCGCCCCGGGCGTTATTACGGCAATTTTCTCGGCACCGAATTACAATTTAATTTCGTCGTGTGACACATGAACTGCAACGGCCATAGAAAAACGAGATTTATACTGTACGCGCGCACTGCAGTAGAGCACAACAAAGTCGTTTCCTAATGAAAATGATATTGAAACGTAGCGCGCGCATAAAAATCCAATTTCGAACCTTGCTGTTGAGCGCGCGTTTGTGTGTGCGCTGACTTTTATTTTAAACAAACATGACAGAATAATATGTATATTTATATTAATATGTGAAATGTATGTAGTACATTTATATTTGCATTATAATAACGTTTTCGCGTATGCTGTGTTCGAAAAAAGAAATTTTCAGTGCTTATAATCACTCGAGAAACATAATCACAATAATCGCACGGTTATTATACTGCATAAAGATTTTGAAAAAATAAAATCATCAATGTTTCGCACTGCCTTTTCATTATTTTATAAAAAATAAAAAAAAAATAAAAAAAAATATCCATCTCTAACGTAAAGAAACCGAATCATGTATGTTCTATTTCTTCGTTGTACGCATGCCATAGATTAAAACGCGACCGCCCAATAAAGAAATATTTTCAAAATATAGAATTTCTTCTTGCATCGTCTTGGAGGTATGTTGTCGTTTTCGTGGCAAACCATAACTTTTGACGAACGGGAAATATGAAACGAAAATATAATAAAAAAATCTCAAATACGTGCGCATCGAAATCCGTCTAAACCTCGAGAAATAAGCGCTGAAATACACAGAATTTTTACGTCACACAATACATAATATGTATAGGTACGCGAGCAAACGAATTCCGTGGTAGACGAAAAAAAATAAATAAAAAAATAATTTATAAACGGACCTTCTTCCTGGCAGCGGCTGCTGCTGCACGTGCAGTGTGTACGTCGTGTAATTTTACCGAACACGAACGCTAAAATATAGTCGCATTCTACATCAAATCTATCGTACACGTTTTTATATTCCTGATCTCCATAATATATATCATCATTATTATGATTTTGTTAAATATAACGTACAAAAATCGTGTGAGAAAACTGTACGGCGTACGTATAATAATAAATATACATACATTATATTTATAAACGATAATACGTATTATAATGCATAAATATATTATACACTATTTTACGCCGCAGAAACGCGAATTTTTATGTATAGATGTTACTTACGGACGTCTGTCCGTTGTACAGTTACACGCGTTACGAATTTAAATCGGCTTCACATTGCGTTCAATCATAATAACAATAACAATAATGATAATAATAATGATAATAATCGACGACGACGACGACGACGACGTATCGATCGAATAGTACTATAGTTATATTATATATATAAATTGTGTATGTATGTGTGTGTCTATCAGCTATATTTAACTATTGATCGTGTATCGAATAGTCGAAGAAAATTGACGGAAATTCGACACGCCGATGTGTTTAGAGACTGAAAATCATTTCGGTGCGACCACCATATATGTCATCTTCTACTGCAATTGTATTGTCTACACACACACATACACACAAACATACGCAAATATTATACATGTTCACGCACACGCGTATGGATACAAACAAATAGAATTTGTGTGTTATTGTCGAAAAACCCACGTCAAACGAATCGTGCGCGAGTCGTGTTCGATGGAGTACATTATTATTATTCGTATTTTTGTATTGTAATCGATTTCGAATGTGTGTGTGTGTGTGTGTGTGTATGTATGCCGATGGGAAAAAACTATTAACCGGTCAATTGCGCCATGTTCCCACACACGTAATATCTTAACGCGCCGGTGGAAGAGAGGGTAAATGATGAGCCTGTATACAACGTAATATTATACACATGCGTGGATTTTTCGACAATATTGGTTTTTTATTTCGGTTTTTTTCCTACTACGGTAAAGCTCGTTAAAGTATAATTGAATTACTTATCGGACCGCAAGTTTTTAATTTGCGGCTTTATTTTTTTTTCTCCACGCTCACCGCATGTAATACGCGCCCCGGTGTACATAATACGTGCGTTTCGTTGATTTTTTCTGTCGATCCGTTAATGATTTCTACGTGAAACTATATTGTGCGGATTTAAGCTGTCCGACCGACGCGACGATTTATCATCATATACCTGGTGGAACACAAACCCCATTATTCGGTTGTTAAAAAAATTTCGCTACGCAATGTGTGTGTGTGTGTGTGTGTGTGTATTCGCTATGGAAAAACACAAAAAAAAAAAGGGTCATCTTTATTTGGCCGGTTAGCGTATGCGTTCGAGTGTGGCGTTGTTTTACCTTCTGTGTTGTACATAGTACTATACGCATCCAACATACAGGGTATGTAAGTATGTATATGCGTATATCTGTATAAAAAAAAAAGTGTGCGTTGCGAACAAGGAAAATATTATGTGTAACGGTCGGGCGCGAGGAAACAAGGCAACTGTTATTTTCTTTTCATACGCATTCCAAAATTGGAAACCGTTCGACCGGGTGTGGTGCAAGCGCGCGGGCGGGCGGTAGAAAAATGAAAGTAATTTCGAAAAAATATCCATCTTCGGAAACGTTTATTTTTTTATTATTGGATATTCAAATGCGCACCCTTTTCCGTCACGAGTCCCTATTTTTTTTTTTTTTTTTTTGTTGTATATTTGTATTTTTTTTTTGTTTTTTTGTACTCCCCGTCGTGCGCGTCTTCTTCAAGTGGCGCGCGCGAAACAAGTTTTATTTTCATTCAAATTCGCGTTGCCACCATCATGTTAAAACACACAGTGGCGACGTGTTTGTCAAATGTTGGATTACGCGGTTGAACCCCTTTCGAGTGCGCTTTTCGCCATCGTAGTCGGTTTATTGTTTTTATTTATGCGTTCCCCACCCCGTTGTTTTTGCTTTTCGCTTTGTTTCAATGCTATTTACGTGTTTTACGGTGGAAATAATACGTATAACGTGTACGCGAACTCGTGGTAAACACGTCGTCATCGTCGTTGCGGCAGCACAGGAACACTGCGACGAAGGGACTGCGAACGGACCAAAGTCTTACGGGAAAACAGTGTAGTGAAATCTCGACAAGGAAACATAATAATATTATATAATACGTCCATGAATATGTAGGCGGATTAACATCCGGCGCAACCATATTTATTATTAATACAGAAACGCTAGTATAATAATAAGACTATGTGCGACCTTTGTCCGTCAAACTTTCTTAAAACAGCGAGCGTATACACTAAATATATATGCGGCGGTGGTCCATAATTAAAGCGAAACTTGGGAGGATGTGCCGTCACTGCCCACTCGTCTCGTAATATTACGACACGTGTCCGTCTGAACGGAGGGATGGTTTTCTTTGTTTTCAAGTTTTGCGAAGCCAACGTTAAGTACAAGTCTGCGGCCCTTTAGCCGCTCGTATCCCGACGACGCCGCCGCCACCGCTATGCGTAGGTAAAATGATCCGGTTGACCGCATGCAAATAATAATAATAATAATAACGCTCGTCCGCATAATTTATACAATATACATGTTATGTGTGTGTGTACGAGAAACATTTTCGCGGCGTAATTACAAGTCAACGAAATAGGATTACCGCCGCTGAGATATTAATTTTCCGGTTGTATACGTGTTCGGCTGTCGGTTTCTCTAATTTGACGAATGTTTCGTGAGCACATATAACCCTCACGGCGAATTTGTTAAGCTCGGATTACTGTACACACACACATACACACTCGTGCGTGTAATAAATTATACCGTGTGCGTACACGTACAGGGATAGATGCATTTCGTTGTCGTCGTCGCCGTCATCCGTATCGTTACCATTGATATTGCACCACGCACCGGGCGAGCAGTACATTTATAATTAACACGCGATATCGGGAGAATCGTAAAAGTAATAATTAGTGATCGGGGGTCGACGGTGTGCAGACGACATCCGAGAAGTTTCCCACCCTCGACGGTGGTGAAATATCCATTATTGTCGTTATGCTGCACGTGTACGCCATACACACGCACGCACGCACAGCTATTATTATAAACATAATTATTGTATACGCGAAAATAGATTGCCATCGTGTTCGCAAACGTTCATAATCGTCAAGTACTCATAAGGACACGGCATCGTTTTCGATCGCCTTCCACGGAATTAACTCGGTTCGTCCGTCTTTCGTTCGTTGTCACAACGTTTTTCCGCTTCCGTAACCGATTCGCGGAGGGTCACATGTACGCGAGTGAGTACCGAAAAACACGTACGCAGTAAAAGGCAATAACAATAATAAATACTCTCTGCACGCTGTACACGGGTTAATGCGGAAACGTCTCGGGGGTGGAAAAAAAATATAAGTAAACGCCTCCGGAGAGAGCGAGAATTGTGAGTTGTGAGTAGGAAGAGCCGATTTATGCGTGCGGTGTATATTATAAACGTTTTCCGGGAAAATTCGCATTATGAAACGTATTATAAATGCATAGATGCGTTTTGCATAAGACGATACGCCCGAAGGCGCTTCTCTCTCTCTCTCTCTCTCTCTCTGTTTCTCCTTGCTCGCGTGTATATTTATAGGCACTTCTCGCACCCTCTTCTCCCCGCCGTTTGTCGTCGAAAATGACATTTGCCTCGTCACGCGCACGGCTATTCGATTAGCCACCACCACCACCACCACCACTTAACAACAATATACGGCCCTCGCACACTCAGCAAAAGGGAAAATATAATACAACGAGATTTTTTTTTTTTTGTTCGCAGAAACGTTTGCCCAGGAGCTGGATTTGGAACGAAAAGCCAGGCAGCAACAGTCTGCCCAACAGAATCAACAGCAAAGCCAACACTCGGACAGAGACATCAAGTCGCCCGTCCCAGGTATGTGAATATTTGTCGAATAAATCGAATTGAGACGGACGACTGGTCGCGTCTGTACTCGAAGAGGAGAAGAGGGGGAAATGGAAAATTTGTAGAAAGAAAAATTGCCACTTTTGAAATGACAACTTGAAGTCTGAGATCTTAACAATCGACGGAAGTACGGCACCACCCTCTGCGATGACGTGGTGATCGCATACAGCACACGCGCATACGAATAAAATAATAATATTGTTTTCCAATTTCGAAACTTTCCGTTTTCCTCCCGCCCTCCGTTCCACCACCGTCGAATCGCCCCGGTTTTTCTTATTATTATAATGAAAGTTGGCCCACGATATCCGCTTGCCGACGCCGCTTTAATAACGTCGGTGCACACGTCGACGACGGCGTGTTGAATATCAATTTTCCATGACTGCCCCCCGACGATGGCACGCCGTCACCCCTTTGTCCATCGCCTCCTTATCCGCGAACCGTACGCGGCAGCAGCGTACACCAGTCCGTGTGTGGCGACGTCGAGGAACTATTGCTCGGAAAACAATCAATCATAAAGCTCCGGGGAACGAACGGAGAAAGGCGAGTTTCCTTCTGTTTCCGACAGCAATTGAGTTGTATCGTACACGCTAACCTGGTTATGAAGTGCGAGTGCGCGCGTTTAATATGGTTTCGGAATTTCGCATGATATACCCACTCTTGCCCGTGTGTGTGTGTGTGTGCGCGCGTTTTGTGTTGTAATGCCATCACGTCGACGACTGGGATCCTAATTCGGAGCGAACGTGATGTATATAATAACGGATGGATTTTTATTTTTTATTTCACAGACACCCGGGCCAAATTCTTCAACAATTCCGTCTTGTTCAGTACGGCAACATAATGCGTGTCTAGTAGTGGCACGCGTTCCAGGAAAACAGTTTGAATAAAGTAAAATAAAGATAAATAAATAATAAAAAAAAAATAAAAACAATTTGTACTTAAACAATATTAGTGAAGATTTTCTCGTTTTGTATCATACATATATTATTATTGTAGTTATTATTGTGTAATGTAATCGATACGCGCGTTAGTATTTTTTTTTTTTAAACATTAATTTTTTATTTTTACATAATATGTAAGTTTATCATAAATATAGGCTTTTACGTATTCAGTATGTATATAAATATATTTAATAAAAATATAATTACGCATAGAGTATGTCGACTATTAAACGTATAATTTAGATGTATATGAACATTATGTTGTATTCTAGTGTTCCGCGACGAACAATAAACGTAGTGATGTACCGAACGCGTGACCGTAGCGAATATCGTGTAAAAAGCGTTTGTAATGTCGTGTGATCTCAACAAAATCGTCGAATGACACATGCAACCGCGCATAAAAACACGTACATGGTCGCGACGCGTTTCCGCGAAAACCGAAGTCACCGGAGACGAGTTCACACGATATTACGGTGTTTGTTTTCAGTACCTAAACACATTTTGTTGACTGATGATTAGAAAATATTGTTAATTTTAATACTGTATAGATGATGTTTAAACGACGCGATAGCGAGTGTCGCCGGGAGAACAATACTCGTGAACACCACCTGCCCACTACCAACCCCCACCTCAGCCCCTTTTAAGACAAAAAATAAAGGAAAGAAAGAAACCGTATAATTTATTATTATTTTACATTAAACACGGTTACGTCCGAAAATTGTACATAAACAAATGATTTATAAGTAGTTCCTTCTTTCGGCAGTTTTTTCGACTCCTTTTATTTAGGTTTTTTTTTTTGTACAAAACTTTCCTATAACTGTAAATACAAATATTCGTCGTGTATTCGAACGGATGTTGAAAAACAAAAATAAAATTTGTACCCGAAAACTATATTGTTACGAACAAATATATATATAACGTGTCGTAAATGTCTACGAGAGAACCTCCACGCGAGTTTTTGCGTTTTGTATATATAATTATTATGATTAATCCAATGTACATTATATATTTATTTATATATATGTATCGGCGTAATTTTATTAATTTATTAATTTCTTTTTGTAACAAATAATATATATGTATAATTATAATTATTATTATTATTATTATTATTATTATTATTATTATTATTATTAT